GGCGTTTGTTTACGCTAATGGTAGCCTCGCTATTTTGGTGTTCTCCTAGTCCCGGTAGTAGTAAGCGCTATTTGGTGACTCTCTGTGGGTCCTTGTCTTCCTGTACTTCGGGTAAAGGTTTGTATATATATATATATATTGTTTGTATATATTAGTATGTATATAATGCACAAAGGTGCAGAAAGACATAGATAAGTGTGTGTTCCACTTCTTGTTAATGTACAGAGAATTGAAATACACAAACAAGGACACAAGTCAAACCTGAAAACAATAGTTTTATTCATATAGGAATCCATGTGTTTATTAGATGATTTATTGGTTCAACTTTTCATAATCAGAGATTGGGCCAAAATATACTGGTGGGCTGTTCGATACATTTGCACTACAAGTTTTCAACAGCAGACGTCATAATAGAGTTTGAGATGCATTGAATGAATGAACCTTTTTACGATACGATTGGCTGGAAAGCTTCACTGCTTCATAAAGCTTCATAAAGCTTCACTGCTTCATAAAGCTTCATAAAGCTTCATAAAGCTTCACTGCTTCATAAAGCTTCACTGCTTCATAGAGCTTCACTGCTTCATAAAGCTTCATAAAGCTTCATCTGGCTTCACTGCTTCATAAAGCTTCATAGAGCTTCACTGCTTCATCTGGCTTCACTGCTTCATAAAGCTTCATAAAGCTTCACTGCCTCATAGAGCTTCATCTGGCTTCATCTGGCCGTCACTAGTAAACAGCAGAATGTGCACAGAGGAACTGAAGTCACACAGAAAGAACTACAGAACAGGAGTTTGCTGGACAACACGAGCAGAGCTACTGAGCCACGTTACCACGTAGGAGTATTAACAAGGGCCTGGTTGATGCTTCAGCAAAACCAGAAGAGAAAAGGGGCGAACCGAGCACCGTTACGTTTGCTTCGCCTGCACTGGTTCATATTTCAACACACGCTTCACAGCTTCACAGAGGGTCGGAGGTAACAACGCTAGTGTTTACTGTGTGTTTGTGTGTTAACGGGCCGTCAACCTTTGCAAAGTTCCTTTTACCGTTTAGACGAAAAATACGGAAATCAAACGAAAATACGGAAATAACACCGTTTTATTTGAGTTTTTTCGCGTTAAACCAAAAGAGTAAATGTCCTTTTCTGTCCACATCCAAACACGAAAAAACGACCGATCTGTTTTTCTGTAAATCCCTTTTTGTTTGTTCCTTTTAAAAGAAACCAAAGCGCAGCCGCTAAACCGGAAGTGCGCACATTTTAACAGTAAAACGCAATAGAACGTTTGTACGATAGAAATCCGTCTGTGACGCAAGAATATCTATAATATAGCAGAGTAACATTAGAAGAATGAATATGAAACGTCATCGTGTGTTAACAACAGCAGTTGACTACACGCAGACACATTTACATTCATCCATGTACACAGATACTCATTCATCTGTGCGCTGTTTGATGCAATATAGTTATTAATATAGTAACAACACATTTATTACTGTAGGTAATAACACAGTTTGTGGTGGCAGACTCGTTGCTGTTGGCTCTGATATTTATTTCCAGTATTGTTGTGTTGCTTCAGTGCTCAGAGACACTTTAAGGAGAGTAAACGTGTTCACGTCTCCACCACTAGGGGGCAGAATACGACTATTTAAAGCAGTGGTTCTCAGCTGGTCTGGTGGCTCCGGGACCCACCATCACCCCTCAATGACAACCGACCCAAATCGAGGGACATCCTTCACTTCTCAGATGTATTTAATGAAAATATGGTGCAGTTTGAACCTGAGAGAGTGTGGAGACAGAACACGTATGACCACACAAAAACAAGTTTAATGAGAAAACAGCCAGCTGGTAGCGACGCTAGAGAGGGAACTATTCCCTTTACACTAAATGAGCTAAAACCCCAAAGTGCATCTTAAGGACACGAGGTATTACAACATACAACAATTAAGAATCTTCAGCCATTTCAAACAAAAAAGACTCAAATGACTTTAACAGATACGACAAACACTGTGTCTTGAGGAGCTTTTGCACAAATGCAAAATTAATTAAATAAAAAGTTTACTTAAAGGATTCAGATGTAGAAAATGACTTGCCCACACAGAGATCTTTTTTATGAAAGCATTGATTTTGTCCTGCTGTTGATGAATGTTGTTCCCCTTCCGCTGCAGAGACAGATTTAATCCGTTTAAAGGGCTCCACAGGTCTCTTTGTGAGAAGAGCGCTTACTTTCCAAATGCCGCTTCAGTTTGGACGGCTTCATGCTTCTTGTGCCAGAACCTCGCTGCACAAAACACGCTGAGGTTTTTGCCCTCTTTTGTCCTCAATATAAGAAAACCCACATCTAACGTAGTCGGTGTCGTACTTCCGTTTCGCCATGTTTAATTAGAAAACTAAGTAGGAGGTTTAATTATCCCAAAAACCCAAAAGTCTCCCCAATTTTCTTTTAATTATAATTTTTATTTCCCAGGCAAAGGGGAAAACGCCAATTCCCAGGCCATTAAAAAGGGGTCCGCGACCCACCAGTTGAGAACCACTGATTCAAACCACAGATTGAATCATATTGAACTGTTGTTGTTTCTGGGACAGATGCATTGGATGCTTGTGTTTCCTTTATTTGATATTCATGCTTAGTTGTAAACATCATGTATGTTGATGTCGTGGAGGAGTGAACACGTGTTGTTCATGGATCAATAAATAAGAATAGAGACGTCTCTTTGTTTGTCACACTTCCATCCTAAATCAAGCTGTAGACCAAAGAGCTCAAAGGTCCAAGATGAGAAGATATAATGTTGGTCTAAAGAAAATGACTCGTGTGACTTTACGGCCTTCAGACATTTGGACTCTAGAACATTTGACACATTTTCCCAAATGTCACGAGACGAGAGCAGAAAAGAGAAGGATTGGTTCTCTTTCCTTCTTTGCTGCCATGTGACCTGTGACCTCAGAGGGACCTCTGGAGCTGTGGGCGGATGCACAGCGTACTTTTGATTAGTTTCCTCTCATCAGCAGTCAAAGGTCCATTTATCCTGAGAACACTGTGGTGGCCTTAATAGAGGCTTCAATGATCCGATCCCCTTCCAGGTAGTGAGTGCTTGTGCTTCTATGAAAGCAGAATCATTCCCCTCCTTTAGCTTCAAGGTAACAATGTCAAATCCACCTCTATGAGTTTCATATGGCAAATGTTTTACAGCTACAAATACTTGTAGAGCACCACAAGTGTCTCCACACTAGCTGAGCGTAACATCCTCTTTCCCTCAACATGTTCGGTTCCTCCACAGAGCAGTTGGGTCTGACAAACCTTTGGACTGAATTTGGCTACAAAACATCAGTAATAACCGAGATCCATTTATATTCACTAGCTAACGTTTCTTCATATGCTACCCTGCTATACGCTGGATCACTGACGCATTTATACCCTACAAACCTTCCATTCCAGCACTTTTACTGTGAAAATGT